TGGTCATTGAGAATTCACGAGCTAGCAGGGGGTGGAGCTGCTCTTACAAAAGCGTGGGCTCTGCTGGAAGAAGCCCGGTCGCTGCCTTTCTCATGGTGGGATTGTTTTGCCGCGCTCACGCCTCTCGTGCAACGCTATCTGCGCTTCCCAGTGCGCGCTGATGGGGATGCGGGCTCCCCGATAAGGCTTTCTCCTCGCAGGGTGGGGACGGGCTGTCCCCCGCCGGCGCGTGGGCTGCCATGCTGCCCGCAGCCCCCAGCGCGGCAGAACAGGGGTTTGCTCGCTTGAACTCTCCTTCAAACAGCAATTCGTGCCAGGGAGATAACGCCGAGCCCCGCGCCACAGCAACTCATAAGCGTGCCTTTTATGTTGTTGTTCTCCTTCCTTCTTAAGATCGTGCTTTAAAAAGGGGCCTGCAGCGATGTAAATTAGGAGTAACCTCAGCTGAGTCAATAGTTACACCCATGAAAACTGGTGTGAGGCACAAAATAGGACAAATTCTTTCTTACAGAGCCTTTACAAAAACTCATCTTTTTATGGGAAATAAAAATTTGCTTTCAAAGGGAAATAACAAATACATGTAAATTTTGGTGGTTCCGGTGATAAGCAGTTCCAACAAATGTCACAAACACCCAGTGAAGAACCACCTACCTAGCACAACCTTCTCCCACTCAACCTGAATACCACAAAGTACGTGTTTTTGATCACATGAATCAGGTATACCACAATCTCACAACTTAAAAAAAAAAAAAAAAAAAAAGGGAGAGAAAAAAAAGGGGGTGGGGGGGGGGGGGGCGGAGAAGCTGAAGTTGATTGTAACTATGGCCACAAAAAAAAATTAAAAACCAATGGTAAGATCAAATCATGGCCTTGTCCGTTAGAATAGCTGAAGGGTTGGGTTTTTTTCATTTTAAAATGTTTCAGCTGGGGAGAGAAGAGGAAGGGGAAGACACCACTCCTTTACATATAGAGCAGTGGCCCAACAAGATTAAACCCGGTTGAACTTTAAACTTGATGTTCACTTTAAGCTTAGTGAAACGTGCGATCCTCCATCCCTGCTGAAGTCCAAGGGAAGCTGTCCCGCGCCCTGCGGAGCCCCAGCTGTATCTGTGTGACAGGGAGAGGGAGAGCTCTGCATGGCCTAAATATTTTGCTAATGACTTCAGTGTCACGGCCCAGGGCTTGGCAGTGCTGCTGACAGTGGGAGCTGCGGGCAGCTGCGTGGAAGAGAAAGCTTAGATGAAGGCTTTGAGCCTTTCACCCTCAAGCACGTGGCAATCGTTGTTCCTTAGAAAAATCCCTGCCCAGCACTTCTCATGATTTTTTTTTTTTATTTTTTTTCTTTAGTGTGCAGTTCCCTTGGAAAAAACCTGTTCTTTTCCTCATCCTTGGGGTGCTGCTGTCTGTAAATCTGGGGTTCTTCTCATGGGTCTCAGGTCAATTCCACCCTTGCTGCCACACGGCGCAGTCAGGGGTCCTCAGGGGTCTCTGCCCTCCCATCCGCCAGCCCTGCCAGCCTCGCTCAGCCTGAAATCCTGGGTGGAAAGGAATTCATCTATGAAGAGCAAAGTCACTTAAAAAAAAAATAAATTTAAAATAATGAAATAACAGGTAAATCTTTTAACAGCCTTGCCTCTTGGAGGCGGTGGGGGGTGGTGGCACACCGGCTGGCGTGCCAGGTTAAGCACTGCACAACATGGTGCACTTGCTCAGGGTAGCCCATCAGGCTCAGTGGCTGGGCCTCAGCATCACCCGGTTGCCGGAGCAGCTTTGTCCCACTGAAGAGGGAGGAGTGCAGTTGTATTTAGGAGCGGTGTCTGTGTATGCTGTGTCCGGGACATGGGGTTGGAAGAGCAGAGCAATGGCGCTAGTGCTACTGGAGTTGACTTCTGCCTCCTGTGGGTTTTAGTTGCCTTGGCTATGGAAAAGCACCGCACTCTCTAGGTGTCCGCTCTTCAAAACAGAACACTCTTCTCATCCAACACGTGGAAACCTTCCTGATATTTTCCCCTCTCGTGCAATTCCCTGACACCTACCTGTACTCCTGTCCTTACGGTTCATGTCCATATTTAACCACCCCGAATGTTTGTGTGGTATTTCGGTAGGCAGGAGAGACAGTGAAGGAAGTTGTGCCCCAGCAAAGGCAGCTGATGTTGGGGGACCTCAGTGCTTGCGTCTGTTGGCATCGTTGAGGTGCTGCCTGCCCTGCCTTTCTCTCTTGATGATGGCGGGCAATCGCAGGCGTGCTGCTGGGGTGTCCTCCCTGGGCAGGCTTGTGCTATGGAGATAGTGAAGGACTGATCGTTTTTTTGTTTTTCTACAAGGGCCTTGCTTATCTGATGCTTTTCTAGCACAGTGTGAAACGGCTGACAGACAGACAGACATGCATACAACCACTGCCCACCTAAGCCCCGTTCCCTGGCTCTCAGGCATAGTAGCCATTCAGCCCACTGCTTCAGCCCTTAGCTCTCTGTGTACCACACTTGTTCAGGAAGTTGCTGAGAAACCCAAAAGTGGCTGGTTTTCCCCATTTTAATTTCTTTTTCGATGTTGTGGCATTGACTGAGTGAAGCCCAGGGCAGGAGTGCTTCACTTGGAGCACTGCGCTCTTCCAGGGGCCCACCGATTTGAAGGGTGTCTCATCCTTCCAAGCCCTCTGTCTATGCAGGCTGAAGAT